AACCAATTCAAAATATTTTTATTACAGATATACAAATACCTATAAACTTATTAGCAAAACTAACGAAAATGACCTTTTGTTTACATAAACTAGTTTTTTACCTGTGCATTTGCACGGAAAGTTATATGATAAAAGAAAAAATAAAAAATGAAAACAATAGTAAAAATAATAACATGGTCATTGATAACTCGGGTTCAACAACAAAAATCTAAATCTAAATATTGTTAAACATTTCTTTATATACAACGTTCGTAGTTTTTCTATCGTCAAAATCTCTATCACCATAAAACAGTATCTTCAGACCCCTCTAGATAGTGCTACATACAACTGTTCATGACTGAAAACAGGGTTCTTCAATAGTAAGCCGACGTGTGAAAGTAATTAGCCTTGACTCTTGTTGATAGTCATAGCACATGAAACCATGAGCGGAAATTGTCTGCGTTGAAATTTAAACGGTATCCTCAAATCGAATGGTACAATTGTGAGCCTAGGAATAAGAACCTTGTCACAAGCTCTGGCACCAGTTAAAATCTTGCATTCGAGGACATGACTGTTGAGCTTAGTGATAACCAACCGTGTACCTGTTGACATCAAAACTCAGAAACAAAAGCATATCACTCAAATTTGTATAAAGATAAAAAAGAAATATAGACGACAAATGAATTTTGATGAGCATTACCGTTACACAACCTCATGGAGTAATCTATGTTTCTGAGAAGCATCACTGGAGTGCCGACCTTAAGGTGCAGTTTATGATTCGGAAGTCCAGAGCACTTGATCCCATTGATTCAGGAGTGTGAAGATCCTGAAGAGAATCATATCCTGCATCTGACTTGCACGCGGTGTCCGAACTCAAATAAGTCCTTCTCTCAGATGAGTTCATCGATCTCATGTACTCGTTAACGGACTCAACCACATCAAGTGTGGGAGCGAGTATGGTTTTGTCCTTCAGGTAGCTAAGATCGTCATCTGCACTCATAAACATCGGGTAGGTACTCTCAACAATAGTACCAATAGGATCCCCTTGTGAGTGTAGAAGAATATCGTCGGGGATGTCGATATCGGCACAACCGTCGTTCGATCCACCGACTGTACCATCGCCGATGTTTGCAAGCCACTCAGAGAAGCGCCTCAACTCATCGTACTCATCACCCCCACCAAGGTTTCGAAGCCTCATATTTCGAGTCAGTCTCAGAACGATACAATCGCACCACAACTTGGATGAATTGATGGTGGCGTTAAATATGTCGCTCCGACTGCCTTTAGGGAGAACGTGGAGTATCTGTTTGAAATCCCCACCTAACACAACAAACTTGCCGCCAAATGGGAGATTTTTCCTCGATGGATCAACTGTTTCGATTAAAGCACGCAAGGTGTTGTCAACTGCCTGGAAGCAATATTTTTTCATCATCGGAGCTTCAAATGATCAACCGACATCGTATGATGAGTTCGGCCAAAGGACTCTGCTGGCTAATATCACATGTAGAGCCTTCCACTGGATTTAGTGGGATTTTGAATCGTGAATGTGAAGGTCGTCCGCCGAGCAACAAAAGTGATGCGATACCGCTCGATGCAACGTTCAACACAATCTCACCTTTGGATCTCAAAGCAGAAGACAACGCCCTCCAGACATACGTTTACTGGTGCCGCCGTAACCATAAACGAAAAACATGCGGCCATAGGTACGGTAAACAGAGTCCATTATCGAGCCATAAACATTCTGCTGCCCATCTGTCATATTGGCAACCAAGTCCTGGTTCTCAATAGCGAGTGAACGTCGATCGTAATTCATTTCGTTCATCACCAGTCTGTTCGTGGATGCCTCATTACGATCGAGATTAGGAAAAGGCATTGTATTGTATTCACGTAAGCTCGTACCACGTTTGCGCAAAACTTTTTCGACTTCCGCCAAGGCCAGATTTTTTACTTCATCATCGCTCAGTACCAATTCTGTAACAACAAATATACAAAGTTCATAAATATAAAGACAAAAGATGAAAAGAAAAAAAACATAAATTGTGATCGTAATTGATTGATTTACCTGGATGTTGTAAAACCCTTCGACGATTATATAATATATCATCCGATAGGTAAAGCCAACATGATTCCCACACGAACTCCGGTCGACCGAGAGTATCAGACGACAATAAAGTAGCAAAAATGTTTCTCAACGAATTGGCACTCGACCACTGGCTTGTCTTGATAATCCCTTCAATGTACTCTTTGTCGTCCTACACCAGACTAAGAGAAAAACAAGCGTCACGATATGAATCGTGTTGTACTCCGTCCAACTTCATGTAGTCACGATGGCACGTTGCACCTCGAACAACGTTGATAAGACACCGCAAGTAATATATGTCACCAGCACTAGGGGGACAAAGTACAAACGCGCGATACGGTCAGTTCCTTTTCTAGGCTCCCAACTGTTGGTTTCCGAGTGCCACGTAAATTTGGTGGGAGCCTCAACGTACATCAGTTTCCTGGCTTCGGTATACTTCTTGTTATCTTCCATCCAAGCTAAATTAATGTCGGCATTTTTATTTTTCTTAACCACTTGATCAATCGGAACTTCATCGTCATAGTATCACGAATGCTCGTTCTTGAGGTGAAAATTCAAGCGCTCCACTGATGGGTGCTTGTATTGAATCTTATACTCCAACAACCACCACGCAGCCTCACAAGATGAAACGTATCGACAACCATAGTACATCTTCACCTCGTCTACTGGCCTGCAAGAGGCCTCATCTCCATTAGACGCATGGAAGGTGGCAGTAACGCGATCGTTCCCCTTGTTCACGTACTTGAACAAATATTTTATGGACCTCGACTGGTTGCAACACTCCATATTTATGTGTGCGCCATATTTCAGAAGCAATTTCCAGTTATGAGGCACAATGTATCTCTTATCCAGGGGAATGCCATTCTTTTCTATGGTTCTGCCATTATCACGGCGTCTGTATCGTGGATAGCCTTCTTCGTCAAGATTCATGGTTTCGGAGAACTTTTTTGGAAATGTTTTGTGAAACAATCGTTCGGCATACATGGAGATTTTAGGCGAACACTTCCGCATGGGCCATGCATCATATGATCTCTAACAACAGCATAGTAAATGGATCGGTGGCCTCATCCGGTATTTCGACAGAAATTATTTTATCTATGTCATCAGTAGTCTTTATCTTGTAATCCTTGGCAAGAAAAAGCAAGATATGCGCATGCGGAAGACCACGTTTTTGGAATTCAACATGTCGTTCACAACATCTTCGCACGATTTTCCAATCATTTCTC